CAGAGCTTCCATCCGCACAGCCATAAATCTAGCCTCGTTGGGCCATCACTCAGCCCCACTCTGCCTGTCCATCTTCACCTGCCTGTGGGTCTTTTGTATTTTACATTTCTAATTAAATAAAATTACACACACAGACACCCGAGACAGACACACACTGGGAAAGAAAAGGTGGAGGGATAATGAATTCCTCAATGATTTGCTGTTATATTTTAAAGGGTCCATAAAAGCCAAGGGTGATAAAAATTGATTTTGTCGTTATCTGCTCCAGTGCTGGAACAGGAAAAGCTATTCCCTCCTTCCCAGGCATGCTGGTTTCCCCAGCCGGGGTTTGGCTGTGGTGAGGAGTTACAGCAAACTGGGACTTACTGGTGGGAACTAACAGGCATGGCAGAAGCAGTTTTCTTGGACTAGGCCAGAAATACCACTATGGGCTTCTCAAAATACCAGGGAGCAGAGACGGTAGAATGCACCGATGCTGCACAGATATGAACTGCACAGATGAAAGCGCAAATATTGAACAGAATGCAATGATTGGTTTTACTAATAAGGATTTTATATCTGCTGCTGGATCCAAAGTAAGCCCTCTTTGCCAGCATGAATAGAACAAGCTTGTTCAATTCCAAGCAGCCTTCACTTGAACCAAAGTCTATTGGCAATAATAGTTTCCTGTCTGTCTACATGAGAAGGAAAGGGAATGCCCAACAGAAAACAAAATAGTTGGTGTTCACACACACACCCCTCTGGTCCCACCCAAGCTTCCTTCAGCCCCACTCACCATCAGGAACGTGCAGCAGGAACCTCGACAGAAAAAATATATATATCACATTTTCCAAATCGTAATTTGCCCAACTCAACAAACAACAAAAACCAGCGAGTTGCAGAAAGACCGCATTTTATTAGAATAGCTGCAACATGTCATATAAATATAAATATAAATATATACATATATATATACACCCTATACATAGACTTGGGGAAAGGTCAAGGCTGGGGGAAAAAGGTGATTATTGCTTTGAGCGGCTATTATATTTAGTAAAAAAAACAACCTAACCATTTAGAGAAAGGAAAGAAACAGATGAGAACACAAAGCCACAACTGCAGGTAACAATGAATAGGATTTTCGCAAAAATGTGTATGTATAGCTATCAAACCTGTGCTGTAAGTGTTTAGTTGTCTGATAGATGGCAGCAAAGATACAGAAAACTCTAACTCTTTGCTGCCATCTAGTGGTTCTGATAGGCATGAAGAGGCATTTTGTAGCATTATATCTTCGAAAGACACAGTCCCTAGAGAGGTGTTCTCTCTCTCCTTCTGTATGGATACAGCAGGACCTGGATCTTACATTCCTCTCTTGTGACTCAACTGAGAGGTCAAAAGGCAAAAGCAAAAAGAAACCGCAACCCGCCCACCCCACTCCACAATTAGAAGGAAGCAAATGCAAAGCTCAGCAAATGGGGAAACTGGGGATATATACAAGGGCTAGGGTGTCAAAGGAGAGGCAGCTAAAGTGAGGCTCAATCTCACAGAAAGGAGACACATGCATCAGTAGTCACAAAGCAGCAAGTTGAGAAAGAAGCAATAGCTCAGCTCAGCATTGGGAAAGAGCAACTTAAGGAAAGAGGTGAGGAGGGAAAAACAACAACAACCAAGTCTACTTAAGGAACTGTGGCTGGTTGAGAACCACCTTCACCTTTGCCCCCTTGCGCTTATTCAATCCAAAATGTAAACCCATGGACCCTTGTCTCTTCTGGTATGTCTTGGATCTCACTGACTCACGCAGCGCTGTCATGACTGACAGCTTCTTCTACAAAATACCAGATCACATTACTGATGCCATGTCTCAGGTTCCAGTGCTCCTCCAAACTCCCTTTACATCAGCGTATTAGGTGCGCTATCCTAGAGCCTTCCCCACTGTCACACTGGGAATTGCCATTATTATTATTTTGCACAGAGGGAGATTTGTTCACATCGGAACATGTGAACTTGCAGTTTAAAATGGCGCCGTCCATCGCCAAAACCTCAGATTATGCCTCCATGGGGGGATTAGCTGCAGGTATTGTCCAAGGGAGGGAATCGTACTGGAAGAAAGATAATCGTGGGTGGGCTTCTATACTCCTACCGGTCAGAACTAGCATTGCATATGGATGCATCCCCAGCCCCTTACCTCAGATTTGCAACAAAGGCTATGATCTGAAGGGGGAGGAAGCCTTGAATTATAAATCACGTGTCAGGGAGTAACTACACATTCCCAATAGTTCAGAACTGCAGATACAATGCAAAAATAAATAAATAAATCCCCATGTTTCTAGACTTTAAGGCAAAAGAATCTGAATAGGACCGGCAAGGTTTCTTTTACTCTAATTGATGAGATTCTGCATACTATGCAGTTGGTATTGGCACTCTTCATAACTTGATCTTTGGCTATTTGTAGAACGTCCCTGCTCTTCACATCACCTAGCTCCAGTTTCTGCCTTTTTCTGCTATCGACATTCTTTGCTGCACTGGATTTGTGCTATTTATGATGAAATTTGTGCTAATATAAATCTATTGTATACATTTGTGCTAATATAATGTATTGTATATATTTGTGCTAAATATAAATCGAGTAATTAAGCTAACCTGGGACTCTATAGCTTGTAGTAATTTAATTTGGTTTTTCATCTGAAACAAGATACATTTGCTATCATTTATTCTGGAAGCATAATTTATGTTAGTATGAGCTGACTTGCGTAATGGGCCTAATTTATGCTATGGTGAGGAAATGGAAATCTGGAGCCAAAACACATTTATGCACAGTTATGATCCAAAGCATCGAGATAAGCATGCTCTGATGTTTCCTCCAGATGCATTGTCCCCAGCTCAAAAATATATGTATTTCTGCTTAATACTAATAATACTAATGTCGTGGCAAAATACTATTCCTGTTGCTAATTCTTAGAGTGAATTATTTGATCAATTAATTACATGCTGCAAGGTTCTCTGTTGTGCAATAGCCAATGCTATTTTTTTCTGCTCTTTATTCATTTTGGTTCCTTTTGGAAGGAAAATGCACCCATTGCTGTTCTGGCGGGAGATAAAGAAAATTAGCTTGATTGAAACCACTTGAATTCGTTTTTAATTTAAGGGTATCTCTTACGAATATCCTTCCCTACCACTTTCCATTCCTGGAGAGAAGTGGCAGTTACTGTACATTACTGTCATGTCCTTGCCCCGCCTTCTCCAGTTTAAATATCGTTGGAATATTTGAGAACAGGAATTATAACAGAATAATCTTGCCTTTTGCTATTTGTGTAAAGGTAATAGCCTCATTTAGGAAAGTTATTGATCGTGTTTAAGGGAGAAAAACAACCTTGCCTGGGAATTTGTATAATTTTGTTCCCTCGTGGTGATGAGACATGCAGAAAGAGATTTTATGGAATCTCTTCTCTGTTTTATTCTAATTTACATGTCTGCTAGTCTGGTTGCTTTAGTTTTTATTTTTAAAAGCCCACATACAATGCTATATAATATATAAATATAAAGCAATAAAATCCCTTGAGGTTTTATTGGAAGAGATACCAGTAGCTAAACCAATAAATAGACAATCCATTCCTTTGCATTTCATTTGTTTTCTTTCTATTTACATACTGAGGACTTAAGCAATAGGTGAGCTTTCATCTGTTACTGAGCTGTTCTATAACACTGAAAAGAGAGAGAAGCACCCTCTAAACATTTTTGCCCCCAAGTGCTTTCCCCAAACACTTGTTTTGTAGATATAAATTCAGCCAACTATTTATAACCAAGGAATTGATATCCTTAATTTGAGAACTTCTCAAATACTGACTTTGGATTTATTCCAGGGATACAGAGTCTGTAACTCCCCAGCTATGGCTGGATTCCAGCTGAAATCAGCCACCAGGAATCTTATTGGACCTGGAGGCCAGGGATCAGTAAAGCCCTTATAACAGGAAAAGCAAATTGGTGCCGCATGGTTGACTGGAGCCTCAATACCTACATAACTTTTAAAGGCCTTCCTTTTCCATTCATCTCAATACAGCTCCTACTGATAAGGCAACTGAAGCCTCTTCTTCTCTGTCACCATTTGCTTGTTAATGACCAGCCCTGGTGGTGCAGTGGTTAGAGTGCAATGTTACAGGCAAACTCTGCCCACAGCCTGGAGTTCAATCCTGATGAGGCTCAAGGTTGACTTATCCTTCCATCCTTCTGAGGTCGGTAAAATGAGGACCCAGATTGTTGTGTGTGTGTGTGTGGGGGCAATATGCTGACTCTGTAAACAGCCCAAGAGAGTGCTATAAAGCTGTAAACAGCCCAAGAGAGTGCTATAAAGCTGTAAAGCCACTATGGGGCAATATATAAGTCTAAGTGCCATTATCGTATCTCCGTTGCAATTGCTCCCGATTTTCTATAAAGTCTACAGAGTCCTTTCAGGGCAAATGTCAGAGTATCATTACCTTCCACAGTGAGGAGATCCGATGGTTACTGGACAGTGTGAAAACAGCTGACTTCCTTGCACGGTATAGGGACGCCTGACTTCCTTGCAAGGGATAGGGACCTTGCAAGGGATAGGGACCATAAAGGGATAGGGATAGGGACCATAAAGCTTCTGGGCATAAGCACAGGGAGGACCTACATATGTCTGGTGGGTGTTGTAGATACAAGCGTTTTCAAGAATTCTGTAGTACTGGTACAATTGGCAGGCAAAAGTCATTGTGGATATCTGTAGAAGATCACACAAAATGCCTGGACAATATCACTCTATGGTGATAGTTTAATATCACCTAGTTCCCATCCCTGAGGATACTACTCCTGATGCAAGATGGCTCTGACTGTTTGGCCTTGGAAAGGGTCCCTGGAAGACAACCGTTTTTTACAGCCACCAGCCCAATTGTGTTAGGATAATTCATTCTTCTTAAGAAACTCTTTATGGAAGCAAGAATAGAGGGAAGGAACCAGCCTGAATCCTACTGAAATGAGAGAGGGGAAAACAAGGGGACATGATGGTGGTGATGGGGACAAGAAGCTTATTCAAAAGTAAAGGGGTCATGGGTGCTGAAAAAGAAGTGCCCGTCAACATGCGTGTCAACAGTTTCCTTGTCACTCTCAGGCGGGAAGCGCTCGTGGCAAATGGGACACTCCTTCCAAAAGCCTGGAGAGGGCAGGTCCAAGGGAGATGCACCCATTCCGGATGATTCCGACATCTGCCGCCCTGTCAGCCCACTGAGCATGGAGGAAAAGTATGGGAAAGAGAGAGAGAGAGAGAGAGAGAGAGAGAAATTAAAAGGGTGCTCAAAAAAATTGAAATTTCATAAATTGATCTTCTGAAATGGTGCTGAACATTCTCCCATAGGGTTCACTGTGCAAGACCAGGGTAGAGTGGAGAATTGCTTAGGCAGGCAAGGTCCAAGATGCCCAGAGTCACAGAATGAAGGTCAGTGAGACTTGACCTCCCGTGTAGGCCAAGATACATTAATCACAAATGAAGACAGGGGAAAGGCTTCATCCTACCAGACACACGGGGCAATCAGACTCAGTAAGGAGAGAGAAGAAAAGCAGTGGAGGGAGGGAGAGACACCTGTAAGTGGGAGACTTAGGGCTGCAGAAAGGATGGGAAGGAAGAGATATTGAGACCTTATGAATCTGCAGGAGACAAAATGGGAAGAGGAAAACAAAATACATACCAAAGAGGAGTCAGCTTTTATTCTGAAAAAAAAAAAATCTGGGAAACTTTGATCTCAGGTTTCCACAGCTACGGCTGTGTATATTCTTTGTGTCATTATATATATCCAGTTTGGCTGTTAAACAAATCCAGAACTGGCACTAATGGGCGACCGGAAGATGAAACCGTAATTAAACTGCGTACATTTGCGTGCATTTCTTATTTTGCCTAATCAGCACTTTCTCTCTTCTCTCTTCTGCAAAATCTGTCTGGCTTTTCAATATTTACAAAGTGGCTAGGGAGGACTGCAGACTACTGAATAACTTGGCCGGGTCTCTGGGTTCTGAGGTACCACCTAGAAAACTTTCAGATGTTGCTGGGTGCCAGGAATGAGAGAGGACAAGATTGAAGAGAAAAACACAGTTCAAATGAAATAACTTCCTCTCACCTGGCCATTTCACAGAAGCCATTGCCAAGCTCTGGAAGGAGTAGATTGGTTTCTTCACCACCACTCTGGGCAGCTGCCATCAGAACAACCTTCTCATCTTCGGCTTCCTACCAATAAAAAGAGACCCGTTTTCAGCATGTTTGACTTTGGCTCATGTTCATGAGAATTGGCCTGTTCTTCTTTTTGCTGGAGGGCACAAACTCCTGTGCCTCAAGATATCTACAGTATATGCATGCATACGGACACCTGTTTTGCCCAGAAAAGACCTAGGTTCAATCTCTCCAACTAAAAGAATTATGGGATGCAGACGAAGGAAAGAGCCCTTGCCTAAAATTCTGGAGAGCTGTGGCTAATCAGGCTAAACAGCATCAGAAGATGGGTCCAAACCTAAGTCAGTAGGCACTTCTCTTGGTGCTGATCACATTTCTTGCCCCTTTTGGATATTATTATTAATTATTATTATTTCTCTGAACTTACAACATTAGAAGCTGGTATCATGGAAAGTAAGCACATCAGCGTTTAGCGCAGACGCGTGTGTGTGTGTGTGTACATGCACACAAAAGCAAACACAATGCCCTTGGATCTGACAGACACCGAGGAGGGAAAAAAGATGAGTAGTTGCAGTCCTGCCATCTTCCTGCCCAAAAGAAGAAAGAAACTAAGCCAATGTGATAGGAAGCATCCTTTAGGAGAGGCTAAATGGGGAGCATTTTTTTAACACGTTGTCTTCCTAGTGATTGTGTCCCAACAGTAAACGTTTTGTGAAAGCGCTTGGCCTCCTCTGAGGATTCCTTGGCACGAAGGCACTCACAGCATGCTTTCAGCTCCCCTGTCCCTGGGCTAGATCATCTCTTTGCCTGGATCCCCAAAGCAACTCTTTCACCCTTTGCCTTGGACAGCTATACGTGGGCTGGGCTGGGCCCTTCCCCGCTTCTCAGGGCCTCACCGAGTCAGAACTGGAATCCTCGGGCGGCTGTTTGATCTGACTAGCAATAGGAGCAGGCTGGCTGATCACCACTGTGTGAGATGGCCCATGGGCACAGGGAGGCGTGGTGGTCACTGCCCGGGTGTCACACAGGCTGTAAGAACTGAGCTGAGCAGGCAGGCGCATGTCCTCGGGGCATTCGTCCTCGGAATCAGACAACGGGGAGTCCAGGGAGCCTGGAAGATGAAAATGAAGATGGCGTTAGGTGTGTGTCCGTGTGTGTGTGTTCGTGTGTGTGTAAACAAATCTCTCCCAGAATCAATGATGCTCCCAGCAGAAACTGACCTTGCAGAGAAAAACATTGCTCTAGTTAGCTTCCTAATGTGAACCTGAAACTGGATGCTTGTCCAGGAGATAAATCTTCCCTCCCTTCCATTGGTGCTCCAAGCACATGCTTATTTTGCTAGTGGTTAATTCAGGGTTGCTGGGTGGGATATTTGCAAGTTCCTGCCCTACAAAAGGAGCTTAAAGGCAAGGTGCTCCAAAGAACAACAACAACAACAATAATAATTATAATAATAATAATAATGTTGGAAGGGATCTTGGAGGTCATCAATATCTAAAGTCTGACTTTATGGAATACGCCACAGAGTTCCCACAGAGTGAGACAAGAATGGAAGCATCACAAAGTGCACCAACAGAGAGTTTTTCTCAGCTATGGCCCTACCCAGGGTAGTAAACATTTAATAACCAGATGTTGCGGCAGTGCAATTCCCATCATTCCTCACCATCGGCCCAGGACTCCTAGGAATTAAAATCCATCAACCCTAGAGGGCAATATATTGCCCACCTCAAATTAAATATGGGAAGAAAAGATTTGGCTAAACAAATTTCTCGAGAAGCAGTTTCAATCTCAAGGTAAACGCCATCCAGATCCCTGCCCCTTGTGTTCTGGATAAGTTTAAGGATGCCTGAACATTTAGATTCACAAGGCTAGTTTCACAGAACTCAACCAAGTCTGTTGATCCCTACATCATCATCATCATCATTATTTTGCCTGATAGCATGGACTAGAGCAGACATGTCAAACACAAGGCCCGGGGGCCGGATGCGGCCCGCGAAGTCGTTTCATGTGGCCCGCGAAGCCATCCTGGAAACAGTGAGGGAACGGCCCCCGCTGCCTTGGCCCTGGCCCAGGCCAGCCGGGAGCCAATGTACAATTTTGTGGGGCTATCTTGGCACTTGCCCCGGTGGACTATGCCTTGACACTTGCCCCGGTCCCACCCCCTTCTGCCAGAGACCCTCAGATCTGTCCCATTCCTGCCCAAGCCCCCATAGGCACCCTTGACGTGAATGATGTAGAACTGGGCACGCCCACCCAGTAGGCCATACCTACTCCATCCACGCCCACCCAGTAGGCTGCACCCACTCTGGCCACACCCACCCGGGCCCCCCAGGGCAACCGCAATGCTGATGCCCTCATTGAAATTAAGTTTGACACCCCTGGACTAGAGTCACTAAATATAATTGATCGGGCTGCCAGGTAACGGTGGCAGGACTAACCAGGAGTATCCAGAGCTCTTTCCTCTTCATCATCAATCAGAACTGATTCACTCCATTTCTCATCTGCCACTTTCTCCAAACGTTCTTCAAGGCGGCGTATGTACACCAGCAACTCCTGAAGGCAGAGAATGGGCAACGCATCAGCATTGAGCCCCGAACGGTAACGGATTCCTCTTGCCACTTCATAGCTTCTTCTCCTACTAAATTCAGGCTACAGCCAGCCTTTTATCCCTCTCCATTTAGATGCCACACCAACCTGTTTTTCGTCCTGCAGTTGCTCTTTCTCCTTCTGGGCAACCTGCAAGGCAGCGCGCAGCTCCCGTAGCTCCCGGCGGCTCTCGGAGACTTGAACCTGATGAGGGCAAGAGTGACGTTTGCTGGAGCAGAATTTTAGAAGAACATGTCTAGAGAGTTATGAAGCCCACCATGGAACTAAATACAGGTCATCCTCAACTTACAACAGTTTATTTAGCGACCATTCAAAGTTACAACGGCACTGAAAAAAGTGACTTATGACTCTTGCAGCATCCCCAGAGTCACGTGATCAAAAAATCAGACACTTGGCAACTGGTTCACATTTATGACGGTTGCAGTGTCCCGGGGTCAGGTGATCACCTTGTGCGGCCTTCTGACAAGCAAAGTCAATGAGGAAGCCCGATTCACTGAACAACCGTGTTACTAACTTAACAACTGCAGTGATTTACTTAAACAATGTGGGAAGAAAAGTCGTAAAGTGGGGCAAAACTCACTTAACAAATGTTTCACTTAGCAACATAAATTTCGGGCTCAATTGCAGTCATAACTCGAGGATTACCTGTAGTTAATGCTCATGCCCAGTGCTGGGATTTTAAGACAGCTCCTTTCATTTTTGGAAAGCTCTCTCCATTTTCTAGGGCCTCTATTTTATCCATGGGGTAGAGCCTCCCCTTCATCACTGGCCATCTCCATTCCCTAAAGCAGGGGTCCCCAACCCCCAGTCCGTGGACTGGTACCGGGCCGCAGCATGCCAGCAACCGGGCCGCACAAACAAGCAAAGCCCCATCCGCAGGATGCAGGCAGCACACAAAACCACGATCCTTCCGGTCCCCGGAAAAACCTCTCACCACATAACCAGTCTCTGGTGTCCAAAAGGTTGGGGACCTCTGCCCTAAAGGCTCTTTAAGTTTTCTTTTTTTTGCAGATTTACTGTCACATTGCACTCACCTCTTAGAGCAGGCCTGCATAACTTGGAGAGGGGAAAGGGCCACACCGATGAATTAAAAATAATTGTGGGCCGCAAAGGAATACCTGGTGGGCCAATCAGCTGCTAGTAGTGAGGAGGCAGCGTTCAAGCTAGGAGCAGCAAGGAGGCCTGGAGGTGCTCAGCAGCACCCCTTTTTGGGTGGGGGTGAAATTAGTGACTTTTTAGTAAGCAGCATCAAACCACACAGGGATGCTTGACGAGTCTTGTGTTGTTCATGGACCGTATATGATCCAGGCTTGTGTTAAGAATAAGCAAAACCTTATCCAGACTAAGAGAACTGAGATGCTTGATCCATTTAGGCCTTCCCTAACTAGGTGCTCTCCTGATACAGTGAGACAGCAATTCTTTGACCTCCTGGCCAGGATGGTCGAGATGGTCTAAAGCAGGGCTTTTCAATCTTTTCACCCATTGTACCACTTTTAGGATATGGCACTATCCAAGTACCACCAGTCGCCTAGCAAGGTGTCAAAAACTTGATGACCCCCCCCCCAAAAAGGAAAAAAGTGATAAAGTACAGGTAGTCCTCGACTTACAACAGTTCACTTAGTGACTGTTCGAAGTTACAATGGCATTGAAAACAGCCACAGCCGAGCAAGACACCTGCCTGCCTGCCTGCCCAGCCGCGCTCTTCCCCCTGTCTGAGGTTTTCATTGTTGTGAGCATTTCTGTTGAGGATTGACAGCGGGGTGGGGTCGGGGGGGTGTTTGGTTTTTATTCCCCCCGTCTACTGGGTGGTTGAAGCAGGTTTTGGTCACTTCACATGACCCTGGGACACTGGGACCATCATAAATATGAATCAGTTGCCAAGCATCTGAATGTAAATCACAAGACCCTGGAGATGCTGCAACATTCCAGCTGATCGGCACTTTGTCTGAGCCCACCAGAAACACCAGGATCACTGCTGCTTTTCAGCTGATTGGTGCTTTTTCAGGGCTCAGCAGAAGCAGCAAGATCAGCGCCGAGCTCCAGCTGGAGCTTGGCACTGATCCTGGTGCTTCCACTGAGCCCTGACAGCCCTGCAGCTCCAGCCATCTCTCTCTCAGGCTTGTGCGGTGCTGCCATCGGTTCAGCTCATTCCCCTCTCCCGCTACTTTTCTAGGATGGTTGCGTACCACCTGCCAGGTGCCAATGTACCACAGGTGGTACCCGTACCACTGGTTGAAAAGCCCTGGTCTAAAGGAGCTGCAGTCACCATAATGCTAGAGAGCCCCCAAGTTAGGAAGAACTATTCTGTAGATGCATCTTGCCAAATAATTGGGTGTAACAGGACTGTGAAGGTCAGCCCAGAAATTTCTCAGTGAGGACTAAGAACGGTCAGTGACAACAGGACATTGACTGGCAAATCGAAAGAGAGAAGAGAAATGAAATGGAACGATGGGCTCTGTTAGTCTTCAGTCAATGCTTCAAAAAGTCACAGAAAAAAAACCACCATGTATCCTGCAAGGGAGGGAGAGCACCAAGAGCTCTTTTCAAAACTTTCTCTGCCGGTGATCCTTGCAAGATAAAGATGTCTTGCAACCCCATCTACATAGCCGGCAAGGGAGCTAAACACCTCTTCCTGGGAGCTTGGCAATCTTAATCTGTGAACAGCTTAACTACTTGTGAGAGGACAGAAATCATTCTCTATTTTTCCCTCCCGCCTTGAACGATGGAATCCTTTTTTTTTCCAGGGGAGATAGTTTACCAGACTGGCATCCCGTTCCTGTGCCAGCTCCATACGTAACACCTGGCGCTGTGCCCGTTCTTCCTGCAAGCTGTTTTCAAGACGGAGAACCTCAGCACTCAGCTTCAGGATCTTATCTTTCTCTGCCTAACAAAACATAAATTTGAAAGGAACGGTCACAGTGCAGGATTAGATTACTCTTCTCCCCCCCCCCCCCCATTTGCTCTACGGAAAGCTATTAAAGAAGTGGGCGAAGTCAGATTCTTTATGCAACATGCAGGGCTGGGGAATCCAAGGGTGTCTAGATGTTACTGAACGGCAGTAATGGTTCTTCATTGGTTTTGATAAATTATGTAAACTTTGCAAAGTTTGTTTTAATTGTGTATGCGGCCCAGAGTCATGTGCAAGTGAGATGGCCAGCTATATAAATATAAATTCAACAAATAAATAAATCCAACAGCTTCTCAGCAATGACCACGTTGACAGAGCTAGAAAAAGTTTCAATTCAGTGGCATCTATAGTTCTAAAGTTGACAGCAGCTAGGTTAGGGAGGAGTCATCTGTAGATTTGTCCATAGATTTAGTTATCCCAGCAATTTTGTCCCCGTCTTAACAGTGTGGGAAGTGAAGAGAGAGAAAGAAAAAAAGAGAAAGAGAGAGAGAGAGAGAAAGAAAAAGACAGAAAGAGAAAGAAAAAAGGAAAGAAAGAAAGAAAGAAAGGAAGGAAGGAAGGAAGGAAGGAAAGAAAGAAAGAAAGAAAGAAAGAAAGAAAGAAAGAAAGAAAGAAAGAAAGAAAGAAAGAAAGAAAGAAAGAAAGAAAGAAAGTTGGTTGTGTTCTTGAAGATGTTTCATTACCAAGTTAGGTAACATTATCAGCACTAAGGCTGTTACCTATTTTGGTAACGAAATGTCTGCAAGAAAACAACCAAGCTCAGAGAGTACCAAGGACCCCACAGTTCAACCCTGAGCTACAAATATTCTCTTTTATCCCTTTAAAATACAGACTAATTTAGTTCCAAAGCCATATTGTTCTTTTTCTTTTGAATCTCCCAAATATTAAATCTTGGCATTCAACTGCTTGGGGATTTTTGTTCTTTCTGCATATGCAAAACTGATTTAAAAACTTCCCCAGAGTTTAATTTCAATCCACAAACAAAAGATCAATGATTGCATCAATGCATGCCAGGATCCTTTTGCTTTATTCCCTCCCCACTACAAAAAAACAACAACCCACAGGTAGTTCTCAAGTTACGAATGTTCACTTAGTGAATGTTCAAAGTTACGACATTCCTGCCCAAAGTACTTATGACCGGGTCCCAAAGTTACATATGTTGCAGCATCACAGCGGCCCTTCGCACTTACGAACGACTGCAGAGACGCCGCAACGTGCTACTTTGGTGCCATGACTGAGAGCCCCAAACTGCCCACGCTCACCTCCTGAGTGCCGGAGCCCTAGTCCAGCCAGGCGGAGAAGTGCGGGATCGGTCTCTCTTCTCCCCTGCTGAGCCCCAGCTTCTATCACAAGCGGGCACAGCCCTGCCCGGCCACTTTCTGGAGTGCCGAACCCAGCCGGGTTTCACAAATTGCGCCACCATGGAGCTGGAGAACTTGGCGCTCTACCGCCCTGCTCCCCTCACTTGCCAAAAGGACTCCTTCTCTAAATTACAAGAGCGGTTTCTAAACAAACCTGCTTTCCAGCTCTGTCGCGTTTCTCCCAGCAGCTCAAGACGCTTTTCTTTTGCTGGAGAGAAATGGAAAAGCTGCGTTGCAAGCAGAAAAAATGTGCAAGAAAACCGAAAAGAAATTCGTGGGACTAAAAAAAAAAAAGTTCAATCAGACCTTCCAACTTCGTGAGATCTTTTTTTTTTTTTTTTTGGCGAGAAGTTGGAAGGTCTGACTGAATTTTTTTTTTTTTTTAGTTCCATGAACTTCTTTGGTTTGCCGTTTCTCCAGCATCTTGAGCTGCGGAGAGAAACACGATGGAGCTGGAAAACAGGTTTGTTTAGGAGCCCCTCTTGCAATTTAGAGAAGGAGTCCTTTTGGCAGGCGAGGGGAGCTGGGTGCGGGTGCGCCAAGCTCTCTAACTCTGCAGCATCACAATTTGTGAAATCCAGGTGGGTTCGACACTCCAGCAAGTGGCAGGGCAGGGCTGCGCCCGCTCGTGAGAGAGGCTGGGACTCGGCGGGGAAGGGGAGAGGCCAGCCCGGGGCTTCTCTGCCTGGCTGGCAAGGGCTCCAGCACCCAAGGCCGCAGAGGAGGAGAGCGTGGGAAGCACGGGGCTTTCAAACGTGGCGCCAAAGGTAAATTAAGCGGTTGGTGACGGGGGTGGGGAGAAAAGGTCCAAGCAGCTTGGGACCCCAATGGGTGGGAAGAGAAGCATCTCTCAATGGGTGTGTGTGTGGGGGTCTTTGGTGGCTGGATGCAGTGGTCTTGTCCCTACACTAGGCCTCTCCCATGGCCTTCCCACCCTGAGATACCTCATATGTGTCACGGTTCTGATAGATGAGACTAGTAGAAATAAGAACTCTGAGGCAATTGCTTTCCTCAAAGAACACTTTTAATGGCTACATAATATCAGCTCGAACAAAGGTGAAACCAAGACTGAAAGCTACCTCCCCAAAAGGTTACGAAGTAAAAGTTGAAATCCCCACCCCTTACTGTGTCATAAATCACAATCCCCAATTAACACCTTTGGCAGGCTCTGCCAAACATTAAAGCTGCTTGACCTTGGCTCCCACAAAAAAGTTATTGTTTTGACTGAACTATAAGAATGCATCTTCCCCCCCTCCCGTTGCTAAGGCAACCAAAAAGCGTAGAAATATGGCTGATTTCAGAGCATTTGAAGGTTTGACAATATGCACCTAACAACCAGTGCAGTCGATTAGTGAATGCATGGGCGAAAGTAGGGAGTGTTCACACTCATTTTTCATGATTCACTCCAATGAATCTTCGGGTTATGAATGTACCGTAGTTGGCAGACTCTGTTACATTTATAACTCGAAGACTAACTGTAGGCAATTTGTATGTGGAGAAGGTAGTATTATTATGTATAGTGCTGAAAATATTGGTCTAGGGCAGGGGTAGGAAACCTTGGCTCTTTTATGACTTGTGGACTTCAACGCCCAGAATTCCTGAGCCAGCTCAGGAATTCTGGCTGGCTCAGGAATTCTGGGAGTTGAAGTCCACGAGTCATAAAAGAGCCAAGGTTGCCTACTCCTGGCCTAGGGTGAAGGAGACCTGGTGTCGAAATTGCCCTTGATTATAGATTTCGTGGAACATAATTCTAGACCATTTGCTCCCTCTCTCAGTCTGAATCTCAGCCCTGGATTGTTGAGAAGGTAAATGAGATGAGGCTTCCTCATACATGCTTTAGAAGACTTCCCACAAGACAGATGGAATATAAACGATGAAGGGGAAAAAAAAGTTTGCTCAACTGACTCAGGGGATCAAATGCCTGAGTGTACCACCTACCTCTACATTCTGCAGCAGCATGGCTTTCTCCTTCCACCAGTGGCCTTTGCCTTCTTTCCACTTGAGGGTCATGTCAGCCAGCTTGATGTTGATCTCAGCCGCCTCAAGGCGGCTCTTGTGGAGGTCAGAGATTGTGCGGTCTCGGATGGAGGCCACGCTGGCTAGCTCTTCCCCTAAGAGTGCCACTTTCTGCTGACTGGCAGCCAGGATGTCCTGTGTGGTGCGTAACTGTTCGCACAAGGACTCCATCTGTGCCTGGAAAGAGAGAGGACTTGAGAGGAAGAGGCACAAGAGAAGGTGGAGGGGCCATGTTCAACCTTCATGGCATTATGAGAGCCCTAGGAAGAAGATAAGTGGTCTATAATGCCAGCCATGAGGATTCAGCATATTTTCTAATCCTGGAACCTGTCCCAGCAAGTACAAGCATTGATTGTGGATGACGGGAGTGTCTTCCAATACTTGATGGAATTCTTGTAACCAAAATTCTTGTACCCTAATTCTTGTACCCCCCAAAAAAACCTTTTCTGATTTTCACAAAGAAAGAGAGAAATATTGATCTAGTTTCTTTCCCTGGGCCAAGAATAAATCCCTGGCTTCTGGTTCCCACCTATCCACTCCTCTGCCCTGCAAGCCCTGACAGAACAAGTGGTTTTGCCTAGATCAGGGCTGGCTGATTTTTGTCAGTTCTTTCTTGTTCTCTAACATGAAACCAACTCTGTTGGTTGTAACTTTGTTCCAAGACTATTTACAAAACAAAAGTCCACGGGTTTCGGGGACTTTCCCCACAATTAAATATTTCTTATTTCTCCTAGAATTTTTTAAAAACGGATTCATGAAGTGCCTGGTAGAACCTGGATACCATTTTGTACGTGAATCTTCTTCCACAAAATACATGTTTGGAGAAAAAGGGTTGGGCCTTAAGCAACATCACCCTAGAGACTTTTTGCCTATGACATGTCCTGATCTGTGCTTTGCTTGCCCAACCTTGTATTTTATCAGAGTCTAAAATATCATTCTGAAATCCTGGATTCCTTGTTGCAAACTACTACTTTTCTTTTGGTGATGGAAAAAGATTAGAGATATCCACTGGATGGCTACCGAAGGCTCCGTACTCAAGGAAATGAAATGGTTACTTGCATTTAGAGGATGGGCAAAAAAGGGGGCCCTGCATAAAGACAGAAATTACCAGGTGCTGGAGATAGGTTATCAAGATTGGGTGTCTGTCTGCCTTCTCTCTCCTGTTTGAGAAGTTCTGGGAGAACACCAAGATCATCCCATTAGAGCAGGGGTGTCCAAACTTTTTTCAAAGAGGGCCAGATTGGATGAAGTGAACGTGCTGGAGGGCCGAACATTTTTCCGAACATTCTTTGAACCATTACAATTAAATGCAAATGAATTATTTTATGCCTCTTTCCTCTCCCTCTCTTTCCTCTTTCTCTCTCTCTCTCTCTCTCTCTCTCTCTCTCTCTCTCTCTCTCTCNTTTTTTTTTTTTTAGTTCCATGAACTTCTTTGGTTTGCCGTTTCTCCAGCATCTTGAGCTGTGGAGAGAAACACGATGGAGCTGGAAAACAGGTTTGTTTAGGAGCCCCTCTTGCAATTTAGAGAAGGAGTCCTTTTGGCAGGCGAGGGGAGCTGGGTGCGGGTGCACCAAGCTCTCTAACTCTGCAGCGTCACAATTTGTGAAATCCGGGTGGGTTCGACACTCCAGCAAGTGGCAGGGCAGGGCTGCGCTCGCTCGTGAAAGAGGCTGGGACTCGGCGGGGAAAGGGAGAGACCAGCCCGGGGATTCTCTGCCTGCTGGCAAGGGCTCCAGCACCCAAGGCCGCAGAGGAGGAGAGCATGGGAAGCACGGGGCTTTCAAACGTGGCGCCAAAGGTAAATTAAGCGGTTGGTGACAGGGGTGGGGAGAAAAGGTCCAAGCAGCTTGGGACCCCAATGGGTGGGAAGAGAAGCATCTCTCAATGTGTGTGTGTGTGGGGGTCTTTGGTGGCTGGATGCAGTGGTCTTGTCCCTGCACTAGGCCTCTCCCATGGCCTTCCCACCCTGAGATACCTCATATGTGGCACGGTTCTGATAGATGAGACTAGTAGAAATAAGAACTCTGAGGCAATTGCTTTCCTCAAAGAACACTTTTAATAGCTACATAATATCAGCACGAACAAAGGTGAAACCAAGACTGAAAGCTACCTCCCCAAAAGGTTACGAAGTAAAAGTTGAAATCCCCACCCCTTACTGTGCCATAAATCACAATCCCCAATTAACACCTTTGGCAGGCTCTGCCAAACATTAAAGCTGCTTGACCTTGGTTCCCACAAGAAAGTTATTGTTTTGACTGAACTATAAGAATGCATCTTCCCCCCCTCCCGTTGCTAAGGCAACCAAAAAGTGTAGAAATATGGCTGATTTCAGAGCATTTGAAGGTTTGACAATATGCACCTAACAACCAGTGCAGTCGATTAGTGAATGCATGGGCGAAAGTAGGGAGTGTTCACACTCATTTTTCATGATTCACTCCAATGAATCTTCGGGTTATGAATGTACAGTAGTTGGCAGACTCTGTTACATTTATAACTCGAAGACTAACTGTAGGCAATTTGTATGTGGAGAAGGTAGTATTATGTATAGTGCTGAAAATATTGGTCTAGGGCAGGGGTAGGAAACCTTGGCTCTTTTATGACTTGTGGACTTCTGGGAGTTGAAGTCCACGAGTCATAAAAGAGCCAAGGTTGCCTACTCCTGGCCTAGGGTGAAGGAGACCTGGTGTCGAAATTGCCCTTGATTATAGATTTTGTGGAACATAATTCTAGACCATTTGCTCCCTCTCTCAGTCTGAATCTCAGCCCTGGATTGTTGAGAAGGTAAATGAGATGAGGCTTCCTCATACATGCTTTAGATAGAAGACTTCCCACAAGACAGATGGAATATAAATGATGAAGGGGAAAAAAAAGTTTGCTCAACTGACTCAGGGGATCAAATGCCTAAGTGTACCACCTACCTCTACATTCTGCAGCAGCATGGCTTTCTCCTTCCACCAGTGGCCTTTGCCTTCTTTCCACTTGAGGGTCATGTCAGCCAGCTTGATGTTGATCTCAGCCGCCTCAAGGCGGCTCTTGTGGAGGTCAGAGATTGTGCGGTCTCGGATGGAGGCCACGCTGGCTAGCTCTTCCCCTAAGAGTGCCACTTTCTGCTGACTGGCAGCCAGGATGTCCTGTGTGGTGCGTAACTGTTCGCACAAGGACTCCATCTGTGCCTGGAAAGAGAGAGGACTTGAGAGGAAGAGGCACAAGAGAAGGTGGAGGGGCCATGTTCAACCTTCATGGCATTATGAGAGCCCTAGGAAGAAGATAAATGGTCTATAATGCCAGCCGTGAGGATTCAGCATATTTTCTAATCCTGGAACCTGTCCCAGCAAGTACAAACATTGATTGTGGATGACGGGAGTGTCTTCCAATACTTGAAGTAATTCTTGTAACCAAAATTCTTGTAACCTAATTCTTGTACCAAAAAAAAAAAACTTTTCTGATTTTCACAAAGAAAGAGAGAGATATTGATCTAGTTTCTTTCCCTGGGCCAAGAATAAATCCCTGGCTTCTGGTTCCCACCTATCCACTCCTCTGCCCTGCAAGCCCTGACAGAACAAGTGGTTTTGCCTAGATCAGGGCTGGCTGATTTTTGTCAGTTCTTTCTTGTTCTCTAACATGAAACCAACTCTGTTGGTTGTAACTTTGTTCCAAGACTATTTACAAAACAAAAGTCCACAGGTTTCGGGGACTTTCCCCACAATTAAATATTTTTTATTTCTCCTAGAATTTTTTAAAAATGAATTCATGAAGTGCCTGGTAGAACCTGATGCCATTTTGTACGTGAATCTTCTTCCACAAAATACACGTTTGGAGAAAAAGGGTTGGGCCTTAAGCAACATCACCCTAGAGACTTTTTGCCTATGACATGTCCTGATCTGTGCTTTGCTTGTCCAACCTTGTATTTTATCAGAGTCTAAAATATCATTCTGAAATCCTGGATTCCTTCTTGTTGCAAACTACTACCTTTCTTTTGGTGATGGAAAAAGCGCAGACCACTGGATTAGAGATATCCACTGGATGGCTACCGAAGGCTCCGTACTCAAGGAAATGAAATGGTTACTTGCATTTAGAGGATGGGCAAAAAAGGAGGCCCTGCATAAAGACAGGAATTACCAGGCGCTGGAGATAGGTTATCAAGATTGGGTGTCTGTCTGCCTTCTCTCTCCTATTTGAGAAGTTCTGGGAGAACACCAAGATCATTCCATTAGAGAGACACCATCAGAGACAGACAGCGTGCTGGACTTGATAAGCCTTATTTTTTAATATTCCTAGAAGCTCCCTGTCATCATGTACTTACTGTGCGGCAGTTAGCCGCGGCCAGCTTCTGCTGCAACTTCTGAATATCCTCCTGCAGCATGAGAGCCTGGGAGATTTTCTCACCATGACGACTCTTGGCTTCTTGCAAGTCGGAGGCCAGGCTACGGCTCTCCTCCTTGGAAGCCTGCAGCTTGACCTGGAGAGGAGAGGAGATTAGAGGTGTTTCCAACATGCCAGCTGCTGGGCTAAGGATGCCAGCTCTGGGTTTCCTGCTTCCCTTCGTGTCCCTCTTTTCGAACCTGTTGTTCCACGCTCACCTGGTACTGCTCTTTCTCAGCATTCTCTTCTTTGAGCTGATGGTGGATGTGTTCCTGCTCCCTCAGAAGTGACTTCACTGTGTCTTTCACCCTGCGGCAGAAAAGATCCAAACAGGATATGCACATGTGAGGAATACCCATTGTGCTCTTTCTACTCAGGGACATCTCTAAAAAAGGACTGCTTGCCTGCCTGCCTGCCTGCCTGCCTATCTAATCTAATCTAATCTAATCTAATCTAATCTAATCTATCTATCTATCTATCTATCTATCTATCTATCTATCTATCTATCTATCTATCTATCTATCTATCTATCTATCATCTATCTATCTATCTATCATCTATCTATCTATCTATCTATCTATCTATCTCTACCTACCTACCTACCTACCTACCTATCTAGAAATCACACTTTAGTTCCATCTTTGCATTATCCTCAATATAACATGAGCATCCACTTAGCCCATCAGCCTAGTCCCAAGATGAGACTTTGGCCACAACCCATTAATTTCAAGGCATCACTAGGCTATTAAATAGATCAACTTCTCTGTATGAAAAAACATTCCCCAACATAATCTAATTCACTGAGAGTGGACTTGTTACAAACCATGGAGTGGGCTTGTTACAAGCAAATGTAAAAATCAATACTGATCTCTAAACGTCCTTCATTCTTGTACTTCCTCCACCTACGTTTAATTCATGATCTGAATGGTAGTCGACATCCTCTGATGAGACCAAAGATATTTTGTTCTCTTTCGAAACAACTCTCACCAAAGACAAGAAGGAACCTCTACAAGCTTAAAGATGGTTCAGAAAAATAGAAACTAGGACACAGTACATTAAATCCTAGGACAATTCTTTGAAATTGAATTAGAATGGCACAAAGGACTGATTCCATGATGATTCTGACTTTTGCTTGAGAGAAGATATAATTCAGCCCAGCCCAGCCCAGCCCAGCCCAGCCAGTTGTGTTGCTCCTAGAAACTTTTAATACTCTGAGTTAATAGGAGTTCTAATCAGAACACCAACAGGACTCTGATTGCCTTTGGGTAGCTCAGAAGATATTGCCTCCCCCC